AAAGCTAAGACAAAATATGTATATAAATATAGAAGGAAAAGGATTTTCTTTCAAAACTAGATACATGTTTCAGTAGGATGCTCTCTAAAGAAATGCAAATCCTGCTTCATCCAGTGCAATTGTTGACATGAAACAGTTGCAACGTTTGGCTTAAGGTGTTTTCTGGATACTAATTATTAAATGAAAGATGTCTTTCGGATTCACAGAATCACAGACTGGTTGAGGTTGGAAGGGATCTCCAATGGTCGTCTGGTTCAATTCCCCTGCTTAACTAGGGCCATTTGAAGCTGGTTGCCTAGGACCTCGTCTAGACTGGTTTTTAATATCTCTAAGGAGGGAGACTCCACAAACTCCATAGGCAACCTGTGCTAGTGCTTGATCACCCTCACAGTACAAAAGTGTATCCTGATGTTCAGATGGAACCTTCTTTGTTGCAGTTTGAGCCCATTGCTTCTGGACCTGTCACTGGGCCCCACTGAAAAGACCCTGGCTCTATCCTCTTTGCACACTCCCTTCAGATGTTTATATACATTAATAAGATACACAAGGACCCCCAGGTCCTTTTTTACCAAGCTGCTTTCCAGCTGGATAGCCTCCAGAATATGTTGGTGCATGGGACTGTTCTTCCCCGGGTACAGGACTTCACACTTCATGTTGAACTTCATGGTGTTCCTGTTGGCCTGTTCCACCAGCCTGTCAAGGTGTCTCTGTGTGGCAGAACGACACTTTGGCATATCAGCCACTCCTCCAGTTTTGTGTAATCAGCAAACTTGCTGAGAGCACATTCCGCCCCATCAACCAGATGAAGATGTTAAACAGGACTGGACCCAGTATTGACCCCTGGGGTATACTGCTAGCTCCTGGCCTCCAAATAGACTTTGCACCACTGACCACCCTCTGGGCCTGACTACTCAGCCAGTTTTCAGTCTACATCACTATCTGTTCATCTAGCCCATACATCAACAGCTTGTCTTTGAGGATCTTAAGAGAAACAGTGTCAAAGACCTTACTGAAGTCCAGGTAGACAATATCCACTGCTCTCTCCTCATCTATCAGGCCAGTCATTTCATCACAGAAGTTGATATCGGGTTGCTCAGATGTGACTTACTCTTGGTGAAGCCATGCTGACTACTTGACTACTCCTGATGATTTTCTCATTCTTAAGTGCCTGAAAATGGTTTCTATGGTTAGCTGCTTCATCACCTTCCCAGGGATTGAGGTGAGGCTGACCAGCCTATAGTACCCAGGACCCTTCTTCCTGCTCTTCTTGAAGACAGGAGTGACATTTGCTTTCCTCTAATGTTTGGGGACTTCTCCCAGTCACCATGATCAATCAAAGATTAAGATAATTACCTGCCAGCTCCCTCAGCACTCATGGGTGCATCCCATCAGGGCTCATGGACTTGCTCAGGTGACAGGTACAGAGTCGACTTAATTAACAAATAACCCCATCTCCATCAGTGATAAGGAATTTTTATTTGAAATAACTATAAATAATTAAGGCAGCTAATTGGATCAATACCTTAGGTTATATTCTCTGCCAAATTACTGTCTCTGCTTCCTCTCAAAAATCAATAATCTGACATTTTCTGTCTAAATTTTACACCTCTTTAATCTTAAATTACTTCTCTAAATTGTTTAGTGCCTGAAATGTCATAGTTATGAATAAATATTTCCATTTCTATAAGAAAATAATTCGTTCCACTTCCCACTCCATACCCCTCTTCTTCCATCTTCCCTGTGTGAGCTTGCAATCTGCAAGCTAACTTTTGTGAATGCTTAAAAAGGAACAGTTTTACCCTGCCTTGGAGGTTGGTTGGTGAAGATGTGGTGGTACAGAATTTGTGCAGGGTGCAAGCAGCTCAGTTCAGGATTATGGTATCACGGACACTCAAATAGTGTCTCCCATTGGCAGCAACAAAATTGGACACTTGGTGGATGAGTTGTTCCGTCCTTTGGATTACACATGAGTTGGATTAGTTTTGCTAAAAACAGTCAGTGGTTAGTGACAAGGTGCTTAAGAGGCAGTAGAATTTTTAAGTACAGGAATCCTGTTAAGAGAAAAAGGCTTGTCCTAGGGGGAGCATGTTGCTCCTCCCTGAGAAGCTAACTTCAGACAAAGTGGAAATGGAAGTAATACTCAGCTATAAGCAGTTTTAAGTGGATAGACTTTTTCAGTACATATGGCACAGGGAAACACAAATCTTTAGATTTGTGTAAAAATAGGAACTATGTAGACTGGCTGATATGAAATGGAATATTACTACAGCACTTGATTTCAGGAAACAAAATATAAGCTTCCCTTAATGATTCAGGGGAAGGCAAGAAAAGCTATTGTCACCCACATACAGATGTTTTATATTTTTTAATGTAAATAAAGAGCTTGAAACGATGGGGTTTATTTTTAGGAGAAGTTATATGAATCCAGATAACAAAGAAATACTATAGAAACATCTCTATTATATCCTGTGTCATGAACAGATGAGTTTCCCTGAAAACTGGTAGCACTCTGGAGTAAATTGTTGTACTACTTGTAAAAACAGACAGGAGTTTGGAAATGACAGAGCCGAATGATTTAGAGCTGGTGAAAAAGGTGCCTCTTCAGGAAAAAATTGAGCCAAAGAAAAGTCCCTTTTCTTGCGGATGTTTCAAAGCACTGAATCCCTCAACCAGGCCTAATAAAGAAGCAAATGTCTCCTGTGCATTGGTGTGAGAGCACTAAACCGAAATAGACTGTCTAAGAATGCAATAAATCATATTGGGTCCTTGCACTAATGAACAGTTTGAGCCTGAACTCTCATTAGCTTGTCTGCAGGAAGAGAAAACTAGTAAAACAGGAAAGGCCATATGAGAGAGGCTCTTTGCTGATACTGTCTTAAGCTTTTATTGTTGAAGGACACCCTTTAGCTAATTTCAGACCCATAAAAAAGGAAAAAAAATCTGTTTGATTAGTAACCAGTGGATAAAAGGAGAAAGCCCAAGTGAATAAAGCCATAAATACCAAAGCCCTTGGGATAACAGCCTGTAAAACTGTCAAAAAGCATTGCTTAAGTGACAAAAGATGGTAACTAGAAGCATCAGTGCTGTTGGCACTAATCCATATTCATATATGGAAGGCATATTTTTAGTTCCTTCTAAAACGGCAAGTATTTTAATAATGTTCATTCTCATCTTAAAAGCAGCTGTTCCCTTTAGATGCATTACCCAGATTTCTCAAAGTCAAAAAAGTTAGGTTTAATTTCAGTTTCATTAACAGTTTTACCATTTATGTTAATCTGTATTTCTTGGAATAAATTTTCAGACAGGGCCGTTTAAAGAAATAATGTAAATTGTTTCAAGAGGCATTAAGAACCCTTTTTAAAGAGTATGGGTGATGATTTGTTTCACTGGGACTTTCTGTGGTCTGGCTGCTCAAAGTGATCTTTCTAAAGGAGAGAAAAACTTTTACCAGGAAGGTATTACAACAACTTAATATTTATTCATATCCATTCCTTCTTTGTGATCCTGTCTCAGTTAATGCTGGGAGAGAATTTTGACACGGAGGAATTTCACTGGTCTTTGCATGCCTTATAATGTGAAACCAGGCCTTTTCCCTCTCTTTATTTCCAGTAAACTGGTTCAAAAAGAAAGTAGTGAAGTTTCGATAGTGACCACACCTCTTAGATTTTTTTTCCTGCAGTTTTAGCACGTCTTCAGGTATTTTAAACTGAATATGATAGTCTTTTGATGTTTTTTTACTTTTTTTAAGGAGTGGATTTTGCATAAGTTAATGTTCATGTTGAAATTAATAAAGGAAAAATACAGTCAATGGAAATCTGGAAACCAGTTGTCAGCTAGTAATTTTGCTGCAAAAAAGCAGAAAGTGACAGATAAACCAGATGTTTAAGAGTAACCTGAAACCTGAAGCCTGAAATTAGTTTCCCTGAAGGGTGATGTCTTTAAAGTTTGCATTGACTGTTGCTCTTCATCAGTGCAGTCTGCTTCACATGATCATAATTAAGTTACAATCCTGTATGGTTTTGCAGTTGTCAGTAAAAACAAAAACCAACCAAAACAAAAACCAACCAAAAACAAAATAAACAAAAATGTTTTTTTAGAATTACTTGATTTTTGGAGCAGTGTCTTCCAAAAAGGTCTGCTGCAGTGGACTGTGTACAAATCTCTCTTGGTACTCAGAAATGGGTTGTTGTGGTTGAGTTGTGTTTTCTTGCACAGCGTTGGTTCACCTGTATACAAAAGCTGGATATACCCGTACAGGCAGGTCCAGAGTTTGTATTTTGACTATGTCAGAACAGGAGCTGGTGTTGGTTTGAGGAGAGCAGATGTTAAGGGTGTTTTTCTCAAGCATTCTGTTGCCCAAATAGGCATCTCTCCCTGTGAGAAAGGGCGGTAAAAGGCTGTAAAGCTGCCTGCTCATTCTGAAAAGCAACAGTACATTGATTTATGGAGAAAAAGCAACTGCTAGGCTTAGGAAACCTGTGTGCATGAAAACTGAATTTTACAGTGACTGGATATTACTACTCTTATTTTTGAGAACAATTTAGTTCTAATTTAACCACGAGGGATATTGTAGAAGCAAGGAGAATCAGAAAACTTTCTCAGTAATTTTATAGAATTTTAGAGAGAAATGTATACATCTGAAACAATAGAGGAAATACAATGTCTAGAACTCTGTTAAATAATGTAAAGTGATTTAAACAACTCTGTTCTAAAAACCTTGTTGTATAGCCTTCCAAACAAGGTGGTGGAAACTTCTTGTTAGGATATTGGCTTTAGTAAAGAACTAGACATGATGTAGTAGTGTGTACAAAGCGCGTAGCAATTTCCACAATGTTTGCCTCACTGACACACAAAATAAAGATCTTTGAGTATTATTTTGTTTTGTAGGTTTTTTTTTTCTTGATATGCATGCCTTAGGCAGTGACAAATAGTAAAAATTTTAGGCAAAAATGTTTCTTGCAATGTTATTTATTTTCTTTTTTTTTTTTTTTTCTTTTAAGTCTGAACAGCCCAGTCCTGCCAGTTCCAGCTCCAGTTCCAGTTCCAGTTTTACACCATCTCAAAACAGCAGACAACAAGGTACCAACAAAGGAAAAGAAATTGAAAGGAACCTGTGAAATAAAGGGGCCAATAACAACAGAACTGATGACATCTCATTACCACTTTTCTGCTGCCTCTCATAGCCTGCACTGGCCACAGTTTTGCTTTAGAGACTTCCTCTGGTCGTTTGAGATGTGGCTGTAAGCTCAAAATAAAAGGGGAGAAAATGTGTATCTGAGAAAAGGGTGTAAAGTGTATTTGTTTGGAGCACTAAATACATGCCAGTCACTTAACAAATGCTAAACTCAAAAGAGCTGCTGTTCCTCAGATTGTCCTTTTGCAGGGTCAGGTAGCATGGCACCTGTGTGAAGCCCTGCTGTGGTTTCCCTTGGGAAGTACTAAGAATGTGTTTGTGGATGTTTGAAGAGCATAATATTTACTTCAGATAAATGTCAGGGGAAGATGATGATTAGACTTAAAATTTAAGTTTGCGTTTTTGTTTTCTGGCTAATAATTATGGTTTATTTGGAACTCAGTAAAGAAATGCATTTTCTTCCCAGAGAACATGCCAAGTATTTACAGGTTTTCTCTAATTAAGTTCAGATTCATTCTACATCATCTGTTAAACTACTTTGTGTTCCTCAATCGTAGATTCGATTTAAAGTTATGGAAATACATTAGTGCTTCGGCAGTTTGTTTTTAAATAGATCTACTCGTGATGCGTATCTGTCCTACTGCCTTTGTAGGTGACTGGTACTGATTTTCTAATGTGTTCTGGCAGCATTACTCCAGGGGAAAGAAAGTGAGAACTGAAGAGAACTGTGATTGATGACTGGCTTCAGGCACTTGATTTTTACCTAAGGCAAAACGTAACCCGTTCTTACTGAAACCCCCTTTTTGCTCTAATGAAAACCTCATTAGTGGTGTGAACTGTCCATTTCAAGCTAAAAGACTTAGATATCCATTCCTGGATCTGTTATGTAGAGCAAAAACCTGTTGACTCAGTATTTTCTTCTGAGCAGACTGGATCCGTTCACCTCTTTGGGTCATACACGAGACCTACCACAGTCTGTTTTTCAGTTTGTTGTACCTTTTCAAGAATAGATGGGAGATTTTCCTCTGATGTGAACAACTCTGAAGTGCAAGTGTTACATAGTCTCCTCTTCTTGCCACAGTAAATAGTCATTACTGCTTCTTTCTGGGAGTTCCAGTTGACTAAATGCATTCATTGTCCAGGCCGTGCATTTGTGTACCAAAGGAATGGAGCACCAGGCATATAGTGGCATGTTCACACTGTATGTGTCAGAGCCCATGCTTTTTTCCCTAACTGGAAGTTACTTGCCAGGGCCATTGCTCTTTTTCTGTTGTGTTCAAACTCGAGTGCTCACTCAAGTGTCAGAAAACCACAGCATGAACTTTTTTTCACCTCCTTTTGCATAAGCAGTGGGCTAACCTAAGATTCTTTCAAGTTCTTTTGCCCTTGGGACTTACTCTAATATTTCTGTTTACTTACCAAGAGTCCTTGCTCTTGGGCAGCTCCTCGTTTCTCCTTAACTCTTCTGACCTTTTAGGAGATAACTTCCCAAAACCCTTAAAAAGGCTGTAATGGAATTTTAAATTAAGTGTTAGCAAGGCATTTAAGATTAACAGTGACATCACTATCAGTGCTAGAAACAAAAGACCTAAAATTTAATGCTTTGCTGATTGTTAGGGAAATTACTGAAAAAGTTAGCTAGCTGGGTACAAAATGCCAGTTCAAAGTCTCGGACATGGTCCTACATTAAGTGAAAACTTGTCTGAATGACAGGTTGGCAACTTGAGACAGGACTGTCTGATTGTCCCAGAACACAGCAAGGGAGTATGAGGGGATAAAATGTCCTTCTGCTATACTTGGAAAAAGAACATAGGCAAGAATGAGTTAGCTTAAGCCTAGGATAGCAGACTATATAGGGATCATGAGGAATGTGTGCTAGTTTTCTTTCTACTTCCATTTAAAAATAAAGGACTGATGTTTTGCGTGTCTTGCCAGCATAGCTACAAGTTGCCATGTTGTGGAGTTACATGCTGGTGTTTTATGCAAGATCAGCTATTCTTATGTCATACTAAATTTCATTAGGTTATTTTACCTTTCCTTCAACTGACCTTTCCCTCTCCTCTTTCATCAAGAATATGATGATGCTTTCCTTTCACCTGTCCTTCACCAAGTCTTTTCTATCATTTCCTTCCTGCTGTATGTTGTGGAGAGCAGACAGATGTGTTCCGAGAAGCTGACTTTAGCCTATGGAGCTGAGTGAGATTCATCTGCTCTCAGTGCAGACAAAGACAACCGTGTTCTAGTAGGACTTTGATTTTGTATGCTGGTGTCTTCTCACAGTAAGGTGTAAGGAAACTAGCCTTTCTAGGCTAAGCTTAGCCTTTGGAAATATCCCTGTGTTCTACTGTTGTATCTCACTTGAAACATGGAATCCTTCTTTGTGTATTTATAATTTAATTCTCTTTTCTAGCCCTTTACCTCAGTGAGTTTAGCTCCCTATGCTATGTGTCTCATTCACCCACCTCAACAGTCAAGCCAGCTAATAAGGACATTTTCCAAAAGATGAAAATGGGCAAATTCTTCATTTATCCATGTGCTGATGCTGCTGACAGTGCCCTCTCACTACCCTTTTAAAGAGACTATGTTTATTACTGCTCTTATTAAAAGCTCAGGAAGGAGTCCTTTCCCTCTTTCAGGGGTCAGATGATTAGATATTCAGACTGCAAGTTACCATTTGCAAAAAGCTTAATGTTGTCTACCTGAGACCCAAGTAGGAACAGAAAATGGAGCATTGGTCATCTGCTGCTGCAGATCAGCAGTGGTTGCGTGGGCAAGATGCGCTTCAGTACAGCTGCTTGTTGCCTGTACAGGTGTCCGGTCTATCAGGAATTTGCCTTGTCAGCACCATCTGTACTTCTTCCCAGCCAACCTTAGGGTGTAAAAACAGAGAAGAGAAACCACTGATCTCAACCTGCCCACACTACAATAACTTAGAGAAGGTCCAGTGCAACCTTAGTGGTAAATCATTCTCAACACTGCCTTTGAGGTGGCTTGCACAAAACTAGTCATAATGCCTGTGACCTGAGCCTTGCTAGGTCTGGAATAATCCATAAAGCTGTTCCTCCTATGAAGGGAACACCACTCCTTGACTATGTTTCCCCATTAACAGATGGAGAGTTGCAAGCTTCATGTCAATTTGAAGAACACTTTGGGGCTCATTTTGTTCACGTTAGTACTTTTGTGTTTCTGAGGGGAATTACAGAACCCCAATAGTAAATGTTCCTGCAGCCATCACTGTTGCTTTTACTTGCTGCTTGGTGTTAGGCTGCACTTCAGAGTTAAATGCCCTGTGGCATCAGTCTTGCTTCCTTCCCTCTTCTAAGCTGCTTTTGCCCACATTCTTATTTCAAGCAGCTGTAGTTTCACATTTTGCAGATAGGATAAACATAATCCTCTCCTCTTTCTGTAACTGTCAAACTGTAACAGCAAAATAAATTGAGTAAAATCAGCCCAAAATCCCAAACTGATTTTAATGCAGTTTTATGAGCAAGTCAAACTTTGTACCTTCTGTTAGTTCAGAAAAATAGATAGTGTTGCTTAGTATCAATGCACTTTTTACATATGAACATTGGCAAAGTGCTTACTTGACCTGAAATTGACCCTGAAATAAAGGGAGTAATTAAAGCTAAATATATAAAAATCAAGAAGACAGAGACTGTCTCGATCAGTACAAGTTAGTCAGAGTTTGTTAGACTCTGCTTCTCAATATATGGATTAACCTAACAAATGTACTATTAGTAATCAGTATGCCCCTGTAGACCTTTGTAGCTTCCTTTGAGAAAGCAAAGTATGCTAAAACCCAGCAGTGCAAAATTATCTTGATGCTGATAATAACAATACATTAATTTTCAATTTCTCCTGGCATGACAATATTTTACTTACCTCAGCTGTGGTCCAGGGGGCCAATTGTGTAAACACTGGAACATATGAGTCACTTCACTGTCATTAGCAAGTCTGTTGAAGCTGGGTTGCTCCTATGAGTAAACGATTCATGGATAAGCCCCTGCAGCAATAGTGCCCAATACATTACTTCATTTTTTAATGTTTAAGTCTCTGCTCTCCCACCACAGTGTGGGGAGGGTAGTTTTTCTGTCATCTACAAAACTGAGTGAAGTGCCTGGAACTATGCAAAGTGAACTTCATTTGTGTATTTTATTGTCTTTGTTGTTTCAGGTCCTTTGAGGTCTATAATGAAAGATCTGCATTCAGATGATAATGAAGATGAATCAGATGAAGCAGATGAAAACGACAATGATTCTGAGTTGGAACGACCTGTAAATACACGGGGTGGAAGCAGGAGTCACAGGTGAGTGTCTTGTGATTGCATGTAGCTTGGTGGCTACTAGCTGTTTGTTAGTAATGAGGTGAGGTCTAAAATGTTCTCAAAGAGTGCAAATGAGCAGAGAACTCAAACTCTCTTTTTTAAAGCATATGCGTGTAAAAGTGCCCCTTTATAAAAACTAACGGAATTTGCCATTCCCGGTACAAACTATATCTGACTAATCTGTATAGTTATGATGAGCCTCACTCATTTGGCTTTCCTTGATTTCATGACATTGTGACTTCAGAGGAGTAGTCATAATTATTCTCTGGCATAAATGAGATAAAATTAAGTCCTTCAATTGCCAAATGAGCTATTCTCTACATAGTATCTCATTTTCTGGATGTCTCCTGAAACCAGTTTTAGATTAGGTATGTTAAATTGGATGAGAAGCAATGAAATTTGAATTTCAAGTAATTTCTGCACTATGTGCAGTAGGTAATGTGTAAGAGTGCAGACAGAAGGGAAAACCTGAAATAGTCTCTCTCTTAGAACCTTTTCATAGTAGGTTCTTTATCCGATCCAGAGGGTTTTGCTGTGAGTGCACAGCACGGGAGGCCACTGTCAGCTACTGCTTAAATGGGAAGGTAATAGGCAAACAATGAATGTCGGCTGCTTCTCTGGTGCAAATTAGCAGCTGGAATCAAGGAGAAGACCACCAAGATAACTATCAGTTTGAGATTTTGTTTGTGTCAGTGATTTCGTAAAGGATTGTGTCAGGCTCAACTTGTCTCCAAGTGTGGAGATTTTGTTTCAGTTTTTTAACAAACCCCTAAGGTTAATGTTTCCCTATCTTCTTTTTATCCCAAATAACTTTTTTTTTTTCTTCCAACAAATAAATACTTCCTGTTATCCCTAAGTAAATGAAGGGTGAGGCTGACTAGGAGCTAGCTGAGATTTTTCATGTGGCCTCTCCTGAGATACTAAGTTTTTAAATTTTAGCCAGGAAAAAGTGTTATTTATAACGAGAAACAAGGTTCAGTTAAACACTTGTCTGGGTGAGTACAGCTGTTTAGAAAGCTTTCAGAAGAGCAGAAAAATATCTCTAAAAAACATTTTCTTATTCCATGCTGCTATGAACCGAGATACGGACTCGCTCCAGCAACACTGGAAACAGCAGTGTAATGTTCTAAATATTTAACCATTTCTGTAATGTTAGCTTCTGTTAAGCAGACATGTCATCTTAGCCAAGTCCAGGCAGACAGCCTCTTTCTCCATGCTGTGCAGAGCTGCTTCCAGAGTGTGACTCTGCTCAGAGGCCTCTCTTCCACATGGCCTTGATTAATGATGGCTTGCTTAGTGATGGGTCATTCTTAGCATCTTACCTCAAAGTGCAAGTTTGTTTCTCCCCTGTTAACATCCCTTTGCCTGGAGGTGTTGTTATCTCTTGACTGTTTTTCCATAGGGTAAGTCTGAGTGATGGCAGTGACAGTGACAGCAGTTCAGCTTCCTCACCACGACATCATGAACCAGCCCAATCTTTACTGAAAACCAACAACAACCAGGTAAAGTCTCAGAATTCGTAAATGCAGTCCTAGAGAGCTGGTAATGACATTCTGATTACTTCAGTGCAGCTAATAATCAGTGAACTGACATGAGAGCTATTTTTTTTCAGGAGAAGTATTTGGTTTAGCAAATACTATAGGCCAAATTAATGTTTTTATCAGTATTTTAAGAAATGTGTCCTTTCTGTATGACTTGGCTTTGTAAGGTAAACAGTGCAAACTGGCTTTGCAGCAGCTTGCATTAGTAGTAGACACAGATTGCATCAATAGGCTTATTCTCAGGAGTTTATTCATTCCTCTCTTCCCCTCTTCCCCACCAGTGTTTATCTGGAAGATACAATATTTTTTACTTCACTAGAAGACACAATAGTTTTTACTTCACTATCAGAGTACTTGGTCCATATCTGTAAAAGCTGACATTATTTTTGAGTAGGAAAGTAGGGTAGTTCTGTTTTTCAGAGAAAAGAAATTAAATAACCTAGAGATGCAGAATACATCAGGGACAAATTAGAGTGGGAGTTATCTTACCCCCAGTCACCAATCAAGTAAGGCTCTCAAAATATAAAAATTAAACATAAAACCTGATATTCTTTTTAAAAAAAGTAATAATTTATAAAATACGTCATTTGTCATTGATTTTTAGGGAGCCATAATTCGATCGCAATGTCAGTTGAATCACCCACAAAGCAGTCATGAAATTTACTGACTGGCAGTAAGTGGCTGCTTACAGTACTGATATAGTTAAAATAGTGCTTACGTGTATTAACAAAAGTTTGTTGTTTAGATGGTGAGGTTTATGGATGAGTCTTTCCTATATCTCTTAGGTTAACTGCTTCAATTACCTGGCAGAAATTATCCACTTGTCTATATTTTGCTAATAACATTTCCAATACAAGCTTACTGATAGTGCAGAAGTCCCTATTATTATTCATGTCAGTTAAGATCCAATACACTGTGGAGGAAAAACCCCTAGGAAGTAGTTTGTACACAGATAGAAGAAGATTTCATGTCCAGAAAGCATTCTTATTGACCAGAAAGTATGTAGCCTTTTCTAAGTTGATCTGTACAAAAGTTTTTAAGAGTTTTTGGGGAAAAAAAAACGAACCAACAATGAAGAATATTGCATTTACTGGTGACATTAGGACAAGAAAAATAAAAGACCTGTCTATGTCTTGTTGTATAATGAAGACTAACTTCTACAGAGACAATGTAATTGTTAAGTAATTGTATCAGTATTGGCAGCCCACTCAGTCACACCTTTCATGTTCCTCTCCCCCTTTGGTGATCTAACAGAAGGTCTGCCTGCACGTTTAGACACTCCAAATAGCAGTGTGCCAGCTAAATTTGAAAGTCACATGCCGCCTTCTGTTTTTATAATTGAGCTGAATTTTTATAATTGAGCTGAAAATTAGAAATTTAGGGAAGCATTATGAGAATTCAAATTCTATGGACTGTAGCCACATTTGAATTCGCTGCTTTGTAGCATAGTGTTGCTTGCCAGGATGATGCTTTTGACTGATTAAATCAGGCTTGTCTTGACCAAGTCCATTCATAGAAATAAGGAGCTAAGACACAGTTAGTATTTCTAGAAGCCTCCTCAGATGTGATTAGTGCTGTGTCTCATCTAAACAAGAGCGCTTACAATGTTAGATTTCAACTACACATTAAGAACACTTTTCAAATATAACTTTTTCAAATATACTGTGTCTTTGCTAAGGTCCTATTTGAAACCAAGAATTTTCTTTCTTTAAAAACAAGAAAAGCATCAAAAAGGTACTGGAGCCATGCCTAGATGTCTGTTTTTTTTCAAAACAAGACTTTTTACTGGCCTACACAGCAGTAACCCCAGGGGATGTTGCATCAAAGAACTGGGATTTTTCTTTGGAAAAGTGTGTTTTGCTTTCTGGACATGCATCAGTCTTGGCTAAGTAAATCCTTACATAAAGTTAACTCAGATCTGCAGTCACTTTATACAGGGAAATAGTTGCCTGCCTGCTGTATTCTTATGGTGCTGGTCACCCTGGGGAGCACATATGTAATTTTAGTCATCTTTACCAAGGGAAGTAGAAATGGGAGGGAATTTAGAACAAGCTGGCAGTGAGGCTTTTTGCTAGTCTAGAAGACTTGCTTTTACAGGACTTGTTACCTTGTTTTATTTGGTGAGGTTTGTCCAGTGTTGTGACTGTCCAGTGTGGTTTTGGAGATAATCATGCTAGTGATGTTAGTCTTACTGACAATGAAGTGTGAAACAAAATCTCCCATAATCTGTGATCATTTATTTTCATTTGGTGTTTTTCAGAAGAACTGATCATATTTGATGTTAGGAATGACATGGGATTTTTTTTTTTTTAATTCTACTTTTAACTTCAAAGCATGTGTGTTGTGTGTGGAAAAACTGTAAGAACATTCAACAGTTCTGTTTCCCTAACTTCCTCACCTCAGTCTGAAAATTTTCATATTAAGTATGGTGTTCTGATGCTTGTTGACATGCTTTTCTTGACTGTGGTTCAATACTCATCCAGTATTCTTGGTTTGTAGAAGTGGTAGTACATGTCTTTGTATGGCATTGAAGGAAGGATACCGTATAAGTGCAAGAGAAATTCTATTAAACACTTGTTCTTTCAGTTACAACTCGTGTGGTCATTTCAAAAACTATGTTTCAAAATCTCTGTTGTAGAAGAAAAAAGACAACACTGGGGAAAAAAACACAGGAAAAATAAACTGATCATGTGACGTTTCAGAGGCATTAGAGCGTACCTCAGCATCATTTTGTATTTGCAAAATCAGACCTCTTATCCTACCAGCAGGCAAAAGATACAAAAAAGTGTTGAAGAGGCTTTCTGTGACATGAAATTAGTTATTTTAAGGATTAATACTATCAATATCACTTAATTCCAGCAACTCAGCATTTTCTGCTGTAAACTGCTTTTTTTCTGACAAATATGAGTAGGTTGTGTGGATTAAAGAATGAAAAGCTCAGTTTTGACTTTGACTACATTTTCTCCATATGCTATATTCTTTGTGTTATTAACTGATTTTTCAGTTAATTTTTTCTCAGTAATTGTATCCACTTACGCATTTAATTTTTACAGGATTTTTTTTTCTTTTCCAGATTTTAGAAGTGAAAAGTCCAATAAAGCAAAACAAATCAGATAAACAAATAAAGAATGGGGATTGTGATAAGGTAAATGAGAATGAGGTAACAGTAAACTAGTGCAGAATGTGATATTAATGTATTTACTAAACACAAACCTTTGTTACACAATGAAGATCTTAGTAATTAGTATGTCTTTGCCTTCGGTTCCTTTAGGTGCAGATCTTTCTCTCCTTTTTTTTCTGTAATTCTTTATTCTTCTATGCTATTTTGAAAGTGTTTTCCTTCTCTTCAATACATGGGGTAATTTGGCAAATGTCACCAGTTGGGAATCTGTCATCTATTATTTATTTTATCTACTCTTCACCATGAGTTTGCATTGTCTTCACAGTGAAGTGGTACTTTTTGACAAGGAGAATTCACAGCTGTATTCCTCGCCAGTAAATAAATCAGTTAAAAAAATATATATGTTTTCCAAAATCCTTTCTGAAGGCTGTATATTAGGGAGTGGCAGTGTGATTTAGCATGTTAACTAGAATGACAAGAAGCAACAGTTACCATTTAGCACTGAGAAAGACAGTTTTGTTTAAAATCATGCCTGCTGGCCAAGGGTAAGAGCTCGAAGCCCTTGTGTAAGTGAACATAGCACAATTTCCCAGTGTGGACAGGTTCCTGAGAGGGTTCATCATTTACAGGTATTAGTGTCAACATTGTGGTAAGATGAGGTAGGAACCAAAGTTTCAGTATCTGTTGCTAGATTTTCAGTGGCCTGATCCATATGCTTTTTGGTTTCTTAAGCTGGATGCTGTATCTCTCTCTGCTTAAGAGAAAAAAAGATTTCTGATAGCTCAGATTGAAGGAGAAAGTTGGTAACTGGGTGGAGAGGTCCTGACATCCTGAGAAGGATGATGGTGGAATTTACCATTGGATTAATCTTGCTTGATTGTTTTCCCCTTATATCTGCTTGTTGATACAGAAAATTAATTATGTAGCTTTAGAGAGAAAGAGGGATTTGATTGTGTTTGGGGTTTATGTGGAAAGGTGGGAGATGTTTTTTGAAGATGCTGCTTTGACACTTCTTGCCACAGTTGAGATATAGCGATGATCTCCTACAGTAAAGGACCACCTAATAAGATTTTCATTGGCATGAAGTATCTAAAAACCCACGTATTTGGTTTTATTTAGCAAGAGAAAGCCAGACTACTAAATAAGAAAATTCAGCTCAAAGGGGATTTAAAAGTAAAATTACTGTTTGTATTGTTTTTGAAGACATCTGAAGTTTTTGAAATACATAGCTATGACTTAATTAACAAGTTGTTGTTGGGGGGGTGGGGGGGATTTGTTTCTAGGCATATCTCGATGAACTAGTAGAGCTCCACAGAAGATTAATGACACTGAGAGAGAGACATGTACTGCAGCAGGTGAGGAGCACTCTCATGCAATATCACAGTGTGCTCATTGAAATTGTGAAGTCACATCTATTCTTTTTCTTCATCTAAAACTCTGTAATCAGGTTTAAAAGCTTTCAAGCCTGTATAATCCATATACAGCCCATTACCACTTTCAGTGCAGCCTAGGGAATTTCTACGCATACTTTAAATTGAGTTGTCACAATAAAAGATAAATTTATTAAAAAATAAAAATGACTGAGCTAAGTTTTTCACCAATTCATGTTATGTTTCTCAACATACTGTATCAATAATTTGAAAACAGGGTGGAAGAATGGGTACAGCTGTGCACCATGACTTGATAAAAATCTTGTTGCTTTTTCCTAAAAATGACAGGCGTTTTCTCAGAAACAATTAAAGATGTTTTCTATGGCAAACATAAAAATGGAATTCAAAGCAAAACTCACTTTGGGGAAAAACACAATATATTCATTGAGTCTTATGAAGTCGTGGAACGAGTAAAATATGAAAATGTGCAAAAAGAAGGGTCCAAATTTAATGAAAGGTTGTGCAATAGTAAGAACAAAGAATAACATTCTATGTTTTGGGCAGCATTGTCAGGTACTATGGATTACACATTGTGAAGATTAAACAATAAGCGCTGTTAACAAAGCAAATGTAATTGTAGTAAAGATTGGTTTATTATGTTTAGTGCAATTATGAGCCAGTGTGGAATTTCTAAATTTCTCGAACTTGGAGAAGCGTGTTTAAAATATTTTGTAAGCCCCAGCATTAGTCTGTTTATTAGCTCAGGCTCAGTATTGTGAGTAAAGACGAGAAAATAATTGAAAGGTCGGTGAGAAGGAAGACCTTGGTTAAGCATACCCTTAAAGAGAAATTCTGAATTGTCAGATTTCATAAGTTACAATACACAATGATGCGTATTGGTTATCCCTGTTATTCAACATACTGTTGTTTCCCAAGTTCCATTTTGTCTACAAAGGGAACCAAATCACACTTTTAGAATAGTGGCAAAGGCAAATTTTATATCTACATCAGGAAATTACTGTGCAGGAGACTAAAAGGTGGGAATTGCAACACTCTCTCCACTTTACATTATTCATTAATTCTTAGAGAGTGCAGATATAAAAAGTCAATCTGAAAAAGCCTTGGAAATTCACATCCTAGCTTTGCTTCCTGAGCACGCACTTCCCCAGTTATCCAAGACATAGCTTTTGAATGGTTTCACTTCTGGTAGACCTCTGTAGCCAGTATTGCACAGTTACCACCTATCAGTACAGAACTGCATTACTGTCCTAGCCTGCACAGTGTGGCCATAAATCCAGATTTCACTGGCGCTGTATTGACAGCTTGCACAACAGAGGGTTTAGGTGACTTAATGTGAAATTTTGAAAAATAAAAACTTCTTCAAAACTTTTTATGCAAATCAAAGATAAAACCAAACAAGGAATGTTTTTGCCCATGAGGGTGGTCTAGCAGTGGAATTACAGTCCTGAAGAGGCTGTGCTGTCTCTATCCATGGAGCTTTTAAAATACTCACTGGATAAGCCTGGAGCTGTTTGATCTGACCTCACAGCTGAGCCTGCTCTGGGCAGGGTCTGAGACTAGCAAAATCCCTTCCAACTGGAATAATTCTGTCATCCTAAGAAATATTTTCCAAGCAAATAAGATGGTTCAAATTGAATCCATAATCCTCTTTCTCATCAAGGAGTATTTAAGTGTATTTGGTGGGGAAGAAATATTTATCTTTGTTAGGAAAATGATGGATTCATCCACTAGAGCTTCTTCAGTCTGATATTAGAGTACCATTGTAATCTGCTTCATGGGGTTACTAATACAAGGGAAAACTGTGTGAAAAGATACATAGCAGAGCTGGAAATTTAGAGTACCCTATTCTGAGTAAATGGAAAAAGAACAGTATATTCTTGTGCTTTTTAAACTAAAGATAGATTTTTTTTCTTTTCTCCTGAATGTATTTATAGACAGAAGAAAACATTCATTCATTGGCCTTCTCCTCACAACTAATGTGAAGAGTGTAATTTTAATACTGTAGTTCGTGACTTCTCATAACATTGTGTTTATTTAGTTACAATATTATAAAACTTAAGTTGATGTAGAATCCATGTTGTCTTGTTACCTGGGGGACTGGTTTGGAGTGTGTGCAGGCTGTCAGTACAGCCCTAGTAAAAGCTGGATTTATGGCCAGAGTGTGCCAGTAGGACAGTGATGCAATTCTCTACGTTCTGCAGTTCTGCAGTCCAGTTGATGGCTGGTAACTGTTTAATACTGACTACAGAGGTCTACCAGAATTCAATGGAAGAGCAAGTTATTTGCCAGTGTGTGTTAGCCAGTCTGAACTAGCAGATGGTCTGTGCTGTTATAAAACAAATAATTCAGTTTAGTTTTAAAGCCTTTGATCCCTTAATATTCTGTAATTCATTAATTCACATGGTTTTGTCAGTTTACAGAAATATTGAGTGGCTAACTTGCAGAGGCAGTGCTTCTCTGCATTACAACTAAACTGTCATCCCATCTTATATGTACTTACTGCTTTGCAGCTATGTAAGTAATGGAAAATACCACCAGTTAGCAGAGAAATAAAAAGAGTACAGGGCTAAGAAAGGTTTTAGGAGTGAATATGAAACTCCTAGACCAAGAAACGCAAGTATATAGAGACTACAGGAAGTACAAAGGTCAGGAGAGCAAGGAGTAAAACTGCAGGAAGGGATGGTAGTTACTATATGGGGAGAGGGATTGAGTGCAAAAACATGCAGCAGAAAACTGTAAATAGCTGCAACAGTTTTAGATGCAGTGGCTGTGTTGAAGTGGAGCGGTGGTGAAGTTGTGTGTTTTGAGTGGTGATTGTAATCTCTTTAGTCTATGTCAGGGCAGGCAATAATCTCTTGCAGATGTTAAAGTCTTCTACCCACAGACTTTTAGGGAATTTTTAGAGAAGAGACTTGCAAGAGAAGAATTAAGACATTGATCTTTCAGAAGTGCTGGCTTTTGAAGCTTACGCTAAGGGATGTGAAAAGGAGAGGACAGGTTTTTGCAATCTCAGTTGTTACCAAGTCCATAGGCATGACAGCAAACAGGAACACAGCCAGGCTGGAAATGAGAAAAAGATCTCTCTTTGAGAATGTGGCTCTTGCCCAAGAGAGGCATTTCTCTTTGACACACTTCGTTAGAGGAAGCCAAAATAAATCTGAAAAAAATGAGAGAGAAGGCAGGAGAGATGTGATACTGAACTACAAGTGCCTGCCTACTTAACTAAGTAATCCTGATGTAAAAGGACACTTATATAAGAATTGCCCAAGAGGGAGAAGGCAGGTGAAAAAAAACATATGATCAAGAAATAAGTCCTGGGAGAATCACATGAGCAATTTTTATGTGAATATTGGACCATGGCTAGATAGAAACTGGTCTGAAATGACATTTAGAAATCTCTCTCCCACCTCTTTCACTGTAGAGAAAACACTTGGGATTTACAGTGATGAGGCTCTTTTAAAAAAAAAAACCAACCCTCTGTGGTTTCCTGTGAAATAGTAGAGATAACTTTGTCTGCAATCACATTTTAATGTTGCATGTCTCTTATATTCAAATTTGGCTGGCTAAAACTAAGTTCCTAACTCTGCATTTTCAGTGCAGATGATGTTAACATGACCCTGTGAAAGGCAAGATTTCTGGTAAGACTTTGCCTCTTATTTTGAGGCATCAGAAGTCATATCTTCAGCTGGTGAAAAATCTCCTTAAAACCAGTGCACTAGACAGCACAGGCATAAGAAGGAAATTGAGGGCACTGCTGAAAGTTATATTTTTTATTTCCACAAGGTGCTTAACTTCAGATGGCAACTATCTTCTGAGAATTTTCTGCAAGGGGCAGCTTGCAGGTCTGGAAACTATCACATGGCCTATAACCCTCCATAAATTGAAAAATGACTATGTCATTAGTTGCACTTTGGCTTCCTTAAACACACTCATTTGCTTGTTTAAAGGCAGACAAATAGTTTTACTGTGATGGATAATGATGAAACTGAGCTGGAGAGACATTATGTAAACAGAGATGTACATTACAGCAGAAAAGCAAAGCTTACTACAGCAGAAAAAAAAAGAGATATTTTTGGATTTTGCAGCCTGAGCTCTCAGAATAAAACATTTTAATGCTGTGTTTTTAATATTATAACTGTCAGACTTCCTGGCAACTATCTCAACCTTTTATTCTTTTTCAAGTATTTCTGAACAGCATAAGGATGTGTATGCTAATACTGTATGTCATGAATCCCTCGTTGACTGGAACATGGGCAGGTGTTTTTCATAGAGCTGTCTGGGTTTATCTTGATATATTTTTGTACATCCATTAAAACTTCTGGGTTTCACTTCAGTCTGATTTACCAGGTGCCCTGATATTGTGGCTATGTTTCTTGAAGGCTGAATGAGGGATATGTTTAAAATGTTAATACTTCCCATGACCTAGAGATTAAAAGCCCAGAGCAGAACCTGATCAGTAAAAGTGCTTATCTTTTTTTTTTTTTTTTAAATACACAGTGATGTTTAAAAATACACATGTTAACATTTCTATGTAATCTTTGTTTCTAAAATCAGGTATATCGCTGTGGAGGTTATAAGGGGTAGTATTCTTCCACCATAATGCAAGGAAGCATTAGACAGAATTGTTCAGCATAGCTACATCTTCATGGCCTTGACTCCTGTAAACTTCTTGTGCAGTCATTTTTATCACACAGTGGATATTTGGAGATCAAGCCTGGGATTAGATTCCTAACTTGAAAAAAAGGAGGATGGATTGACTCCTTAGCTTCTTTCTTAGATGAGGCTCAAATAGTGCCAAAAATGAGAATGATACATAACACATATCAGAGTTTCATTCTGGTGACAATCTGGTTTGTCCTATTTGATTTTTTTTCTCGTGTTAATTGCAAAACAGTGGAAGATGAAAAAGTGTTACAAGACTCTGTGAATCAACAAGTGGACAAATGAAATTGACAATTTTAGATTTAAAATTCCCATATAGAAAAAAATTAAAACCAAGAGACACAGATTTTAAATGAAGTATTAATAAGAGCAGGATTATTCCTAAGTACTCTCAGAATTTTGGACAGGTACAAACCAAATTAAGCAGATTTTACTTTTATTTTTTTCCAACCTGTAAAATGGGAAGTGATTGTAAAGGGGAATTTTTATTGTAGCAGGCATTTCCCTCTTATTATTTTATCTTGTTTCCATTATGTTTAATCCACCCTGGTCTGTGTCTTTCCATGCCTGACAATACACATGAAGGTATTTAATTTGTCATCAATATAGTATTTTCTTCTGTGATCTTAGGAGAAAAAAAACATATGTTTATGTAATGAAATGGGGAGCATAAAGTTACAAAAGATTTATTTTAAATTTGTTGTTCTTTTTCAAGTTGGTGTATTCCTACCAGATTTGTCATTTTAAGGTATGTTCTGTAAGCCACGTGTGCATAACATCTGTATCTCCACCAGCTGTGGAAAAGGAATTAGTCAGAACAACAAGCTCAAACATGCAAGCAATATCTAGCAGCAGTGTTTCAGTGGAGGTGTATGTGGAAGCCCTAGAACTAAACGGGTTTCAAATTGAAGGATGCAAACAGGACATTGAGCCTAGCCCTAGTGCCACAGAAGGGGTGGTTGGAAAGACTGAGCAGAAGAGCAATGTTCTGTCAGTCCATGACACTACCTATAGGCCTGCTTCAGGATGGAGTGCTTTTTTGAGTGCTCACTTAGGATGTCTGCCTCTTGGAATGAAACTGCGTAAGAGATTTATAGCCATAGCGTGTTGGCACTATGTTAGCCCTATCTGACATAATGCTTTGGCTTTCCAAGATTCTGAATGGGTTTTTTAGGTAGGTGTACATCCTAGAACTTAATGTATCTGGAGTTACTTGTTACAGCAATTCACTGTTGAGTATGACCACTCTTTAAAAATGTAGACTACAATTCAGAAACTAAAAATGTCAAAACTGCAGAAAGGCACAAGTAATGTACGTATTGTTGATTTCACAGAATCATAGAAAGATTGGTTGGAAGGGACCTCTGGAGGTCATCTGGTCTGACCCTGCCCTGCTCAAGCAGGGACATGTAGAGCCAGTTGCCCAGGACTGTGCCAGATGGCATTTGAATGTCTCCCAACAGTGGAGACCCCCACAACACCCTATGCCCGTGCTTGGTCAGCCTCACAGGACAAAAGTGTTTCCTGATGTTCAGAGAGAACCTCCTGTGTTTCAGTTTGTGCCCATTACCTCTGGTCCTGTCGCTGGGCACCACTGAAAAGAGCCTGGCTCCTCCTTCTTTACACCCTCCCTTCAGATATTTGTACATGTTGGTAAGATCTTCTATGAGCTTTCTCTGCTCCAGGCTGAAGAGTCAAAGCTCTCTCAGCCTTTCCTCACAGGAGATGTGTTTTAGTGCCTATTCTTCTCAAGAACTCCTAACAGCTCTTGTTTCCTGTTTGAATGAAAGCTATGATTATAGATTAAATAGTCACCAGAAGAAGTGATCTTATGCTATTTATAGGAAACTTTCTTGGTTGATTTGGTTTAAAAAAATTGATTTAAGTCTGTTACTCAAGAAATAACTGCTGGTACATGAACTAATAGTTGATGTGAGAGCTCTTGAATAAATTTTTTGTTTGATATGGACTGGGTTCTGTAACAATTTATTTCCTTCCCTTGCTTGCAGACTCATGCCAATTATTTTCTAAACTAACCTGCTTAGAAACTGTGCACACAGTAAATATTCCAGAGATCTACCAGGGTTTTTTAATTTGCTTGGGGCTGAGGGGTGGGGAGATGTGCTGCCTTTTTTTTTTTTTTAAAGATTGACTTAGAAAATATGCAGATTGGTTTTTTAACTTTTGAAAAACATATTCTCAATGGTAGTGTTTGCTGGAACAGCAGATGGGTAGGTTGGCATTATGACTGATGATGATGTAAAAAAACCCAACCAAGTACTGCAGTCTGGACCGTAGTTCATGTTATAAAGGAAGTGAGTGATAAGGACAATGGTTTAAACTGCAAGTATTGGGGCAATGGGCTACTTGTATGTTATTTATATGGTACTTAGTGACATGTTAATAAGTTCAGTGGGCATTTAAAACTGCTGAAGTTTTCAATGGCATCTTTTCTTTCCTTTCAGATAGTAAATCTTATAGAAGAAACTGGACACTTTCATATCACAAATACAACCTTTGACTTTGATCTTTGCTCACTGGACAAAACCACAGTCCGTAAACTGCAGAGTTATCTGGAAACGTCTGGAACCTCATGAGGATTCGGCATCAAAAACTGTTCTTTAAATGAAACATTCAGAATGATGCAACCAAAATGGGGTGAAAAAGCAAAACAACCCTCTTCAGCTTTATTTTTCCTTAAAGACAGTCATCATCTCTTGATAAGGGAGAAGAAAAGTGGCAGGATTCAAGAGGACTGCTCTTCCCAAGAAGAAAATGCTCTGGATCAGTTTGCCTGGATAGCCTTGAAAAACAAACACACAAAACCAAACAAAAATACTTGGTCTTAATGAATGTGTATGGTATCATGTATCTCTCTGTGGTGTTCCTCTCCACAAGATGAATGCATGTTCAACACACTGCCTTATTACATAACTGATCTATTTATTATTGCATACATGTATTCTAAAGTCAGCGAGTCACTGAATGACACTACCAGATGAGCAAGTAGTAGGGTCCAATGTGTGCTCTTTTGATGCAGTACTATCACAACCCTAGTAACCTTATTCATGTTAAAATGCCACTTCTTGCTATCTTTCTCTAGTCACTTGAAACACTACGGTCTTGTTTCCACTTCTGCAGTTCCAGGAAACAAAGTACAAAGTTGGAGACCAGACAATGGTCCTATATTTTGTTTCCTGTGTGCCACAGTGGGTTGGACCACAGCATGTTGGATCACAGGTCCTTGGTTCTGTACATTTGTTGATCTTGGCCATGGTAGAAAATGCACCAGATCATAGGATCATATGACTTGCTGTCTAGCCTTAGTGAATAAACCAGTAAGACTTTTAACAGAAAATGTTATGTATACTGTCCTGAATCCAGCATCTTTTGCAATCTGCATTCTTGTGTCTGTTTAAATGTTATAAAATTAAATATATATGAGTGAAATATTCTGTAGGATCATGAGAGGAGAAACACTGGTCCTTCTTCTAAGGAAATGTTGTAGAAAATTCTTAATTTGGAGCTATTTATTACTACAAATTTCAACACTCCTCTGCTGTCAGTGTGTGACTCACTTTTAACATAAAACTGCATAACATTTTTGTTTGTTCATTATAGTATATGGTCTGCTTAGTTTGTTTTGGTGGTTTGTTTCTGGGGTTTTTGGGGATATTTACAACTGCTAAATTAAAACCCTTTATTTGAAAAAAAAATGTCATTATACAGTTACATGTTGGAATAAATACATCATATGTGTGTGTATATACACATATACACGCATCTGTGTGTGTGTATATATACACACACATGCATATATGCTTTTTACACTTTCCAGATTTTGCTATCTGTTCAATAACATATTGTGTTTCCAGAAGGATTTCTCGTCTATAAAACTGAGTATTCTTTCATGCCATCCATTATTCCTTAGAATCAGGATCCTTGTTTGTGCAGGATCAAATGAGAGGATGTGTACTCAGTTTCACATCAGAGCTTTGTGATGTCATATTGCTGATTTCTTGATGAAATCATAACCCTTCTATTAGAAGTTCAAATCTTCCAATGAAAAAAATGTTTAAAATGCTTCTGGATGCAAAGGTTTATTCAAGTTTACCAGCCTTAAAATATGTTATCTTGTTTCTGGACAGGCCAGTATGTCATGTGTATGCTTATATGCCACATGTAGTCTGTATGTGTAGAACTGAACAGTAGTATCTGTATGACTTACTGTTTCATGCACACAGCTTGTGCAGTACTGTAAACTAAATTCTTATTGGGGTTATTTCTTATTCAATGGTAAATCTTAATACTGTTTCTTTAAGTCCAAAGAAAATTTTACACTTCGCTCTTTTTGAGAGGGCGAGATATGGATTACATTGGGGATCTTATTTAAAGTCTTTGACCACACTCCACAGGAAGTCCTTCTCAGGCTTTCCAAGAATAAGTGTACTTTTTCAGTAATGTTATGACTCTTATTGACGATTGGCATGAAGCATACTTGAAGCGTTATGTTGTTCTTTTAAGTCCATGTCTTAATGTGCAATTGGGGAGTGGGGGGAGGAGTGGGAGTGTAATTTTGTTACTTTTGACATAAAGCAGGTGATGTGAGGAGGGGGAAGGGGTGCATGTGAAGGGGATAAACTTCATTTTTTATTGATTATTTTATATAAAAATGTTTGGAAATCTAAAAGCAACCTTAAAAACATTTGGTCTACTAGTGTGTATTCAACTTCCTATCATGTAGTTATACCAGATACATACGGACTTTGTTCATTTTGACTTTTATAACTAAGTTCTGTGCTAAAAACTCATTGAGTTTCAGGAGTGGAAGAATCCCATTATACTTCTAGTATGACTATTGCACTGTTTTGTTGGAAATGGTGAAATGAATAATTTTACTCTTAAAATACCAGATAAGCTTTATTATACACTGAGAACAGGGGTGGAAGAAAACAGCAAATAGGAGAATAGGCATAAAAGGGAGATGACAGCAATTGCAGTATCACGTTAGTGCTGAATTTCATGCAAATTGTGGATCATCCTTAAATTTTCTAATTTAGTGGGAGGGGGAAGAAAATAGACTGCAGTTTTGTGTGTGTGTTGACTTTTTCACAAAATTCTGATAGTATAATAGAGTTAATAAGTGTTGATCTAAATAAAGAAAAATTAGCTATTTTAATCTAATTTTGTATGCAGAAACAAAATAAATCCTTGTTCACTTAATTTCAGACATTCATATTTGTCTTCAAGAAAAAAAATATGTTACACTTCCAAGTCTTTAACTTATATGAGCATTGATCTTTGGGATGGGTTGAAGTGTTTTGTCAATAAACGTTTTGGAGTTTTACTTAACATCAAGCTGTTTAAAACAAAGTTATATGTGAGAATTTGGATTAATTCACAGAGGTGACCAGAGGGAGGTTAGCAGTAAGTTGCAGTAATTAAAAAATCATCTTCAGCATACTAGAACAGTGGTTGTATCCAATAGTAAGGACAGTTTTCATCTCGCCATTAGCTTTTCACCTCTGGATGTCCAGTTGAGTAGACAAGTTTTAATGTTTTTAGAAGTTTGAAGCCACTGAGAGGCTTTACAAAATTTTCAATGTCATCTAGATTTGAAGGCCATCTTAGTCTATGCTGAAGAAAGAGCGAGAAAGTAAGGAGGGTCATACACTGAAGTGAGGAGAGTCTTCCAAGGTAAAATAAAACCCATGCTCAGTCTTCAGCCTTTGGATTGTAAGAAGTGGTTGATCATTTGTCTCTCTCATCTTTTCATTGGTTGGTTAGGTTAAGTGTATACTTCCAATTCCAGAAGCAGAGTACACACAGTACAGTGCATTTGGAGAGCCCAGTATATTTCTATTCAAGTTTATTTTAGTCAGAAGGAAATTACAAATTCTTGGGTTTTGCCTGAGCTGTTGTCCTTCTTTCCCATTCTCACAGTGAAATAAGGTATGTTCACAATCTGGTTTGGGTCATTGGTCCTTACCTGGTAAGTATCATCTTGTTTTCTTAGAAGCTATACTAGTCTTTTGGGGTCTCTTGAATGACCCGTTGATGTCAAGACCTGTTATTTAGTTTGCAGAATTAATGATCTGAAGAGAAAACTGTTCAGTTGCTGAATGCATTATCTTAGTCTAGACACTGCTCCGATGGTAGGATATTTGATTTGCTTCACACAGTTTTTGTTGATACATCCCATCTTTTCCCACTTGCAGTTTAATGGCAAACTATCTTTTAGCAAACTCATTTCAGTCTATAGAGGGACCTGGTATTTTGTGTTTGCTCATTGGTCCGTTGATTTACAGTTTGCTGTAGTGCAGTGCGCTGAAACTGAGACAGAAAAAACTTAGACTTTCAGCCATAGCAGGAGCTAGCAGGAACTGCAAAAATAAGCAGTGCAAAACATGTGCTGGAGTTTAACAAGTGCAAGGCATGTGTTTTTATGAGCCTCAATAGTTTTCTTAATTGTTAAGCAGTATACAGTACAAGGTAGTGTACACCAGCAAGCTTTACTGTTAGACATAAAAGGCTTATGAACAGATGATGGGGACTAAAACTCATACATCTGCAGTGCTTTTGTGTGTGCTTGGTAGTTAATCAGTGCATTAACACAGCTAAACCAATGACATTTACAAGGCTGGCTCTGTGTCTGAGTGAGCAGATAAATTAACATCAAAGCACAATCCCACAAGGGCCTTGCATTTACTTGAGCAGCAAGAAATGCCACTGTGACTAGACAGGACAGAGAAGTATTACCACAGGGAGAACAATACCCTTTGGGGAGGGGGAACTAAAAAAAAAAAAAAAAAGGTGGTTCCTTACATTAACAGAGAATACAGTTTGCTGGTCAGCAGTTCTGTCTGCTGTAAGATAGGGTGACAGCTTGCAGAGTGGCAGCTTCTTTGGTTCATTGCTGCGTTGTTGCTGACTTGATGAAAGACAGATGTATTGCAGCATCATACAAAAATCTAAGCTGTTTTATGGTTTGAGATGCTAATGTCTGTTTAGCATTTTTTTTTCAATATTGCATCTTACTTATGCTCTATGTTTTACCTCAGCCAGATTTATTTTACTGCAAAGTGATAATCTTGCATTTTTCATCCTTCATTAACTTTTAATTTTTCCAATCTGGAAATTTCAGCAATGTCAAATAGACCTGTGAATAGAGCAGAAGATGTATTTTCATCGTCATTCAGTATCATTCTGACTGGAAGTAACCCTTTGTTGGATGTTACATCAAATGGGTCATGCATTTTCCTATGTTCCTTCAGAGAACTGAGGCTGTAAAGCTGGAATTTCTATTACTACCCTTCTCATCAGAGTGAGGAATAAATGATTACCTTTTATCATAGCTCACAGGGACACAGAATTCAAGGTCTGGGTTCTGTTTAGGAAATAGTAGGTTTGTGAAGTTGTCAGTTACATCTTCTTAGTAAGACCTAGAAATAAAGCCTATCTCTTTAGAGGAGAAAAGGAGAGGAAAAATCAACCAGAAATATTTTCACTCTGATAATAGGATTTTTTCCAACTTCATTCTTTCAGAAGCATCTAATGTCAGTAGAGAGACTACATACAAACCATTAAGGAATCAAAGGTACTGAAAAGATAAAACAAGTTGTATTAAAAGCCTGGCTGCAAAAGTAATAAGGTCATGATGCTGATATTGCTTTCAGTGTGGGGCAGACATTCCTAGCACATGTGGTTTGTGTATCCACATCTGAGTGGGTGGTCTAGGAAGCAGTGCAAAATGCCACAGGAGGGCTTAGTTTCTGAGCAGCGCAGAGGAGACATTCAGCATAGGCTCAGCCAGCATCACCCAGGCTATCCAAGATAAAGCAGTTTTCTTTCAGCTTTCATAAGCAGCTAAGTTTTCACTTTGCCTGTTCATCTAAATATTTGAATTCTTCTTTGCAACTACATGAGTCCCCATTCAGCAGTTTCATGCTTGCTAGGGACCTGGTTAGGTTTTGTGGTGGGGTTATTTTGATGTGGTTGTTACTTTCTTTGGGCAGGGCATGAGAAGATATAAGTGGAATGTGGTAATGGCTTCTTTTTTATTATTTTCCACTTCTGCCCAACAAATAACTTAAATATTTTCCCTCAAAAATTCTGTTATGTGTGGAAAGAAGGTAATACTGCTTTTATTAATGTCACTTTTTGTTAGCACAGTATATTATTAAGAGGATGAATTAAGGTGAAGCTTCTGTGAAAATGTACACATCTAATATTAGGATGTGGCTTGATAGAGCACTTGGTAGTCTGTTGAACCTCTGCACTCAGGGTGGCCTAGCAATGCTCATTATTATTATCATTCTTATTGAATGAGCTTGTGTAGCAAGTGATGTAAGTGATTAAGATACGCAGTTTTTGACTGTCTCTTGCCTAAGCTCCCTTGGATGTCTGCACACTACCTATGTAAAAAATGAATTGAGTGTCTGCTGGGGTTTTTCTGTGCTGAACAGCCTTTTCTCTTTGCATTATCACAGGTAACATGAGTGGGTGGCTAGAATAGGCACTTTCTACGGTCTTGCAAATATGGAACAGAATTCTGCAATGCCTTGCTATAAATTATGTTTGCGATTAGCAAAGATGTTGATAAATTTACTTTATCCTTTATTCTTTTGCCATTATAGATTTATTTTTTGGAGAGAGAGTTGTCCTCACTCCATCTATACAATATCTTCCTTCCTTCCTGGTTCACATTTTAAAAACAGTTAATAAAACATCAACATCTTCCCTTGACAATGCATTGCATTAGACTGGCTAAACGTTTGATGACCAAAATCAACACTATGTCTACAGTTTCTTCTTCAAAAGGAGATGAAGCAAGGAAAGCAACATTCATTCTGTTTCACAAAGTTGTTGAGATTGGAAGGGACCTTTAGAGGTCATCCGGTCCAGCCCCATGGTTTCTCCATGCAAGTCCCATTGTGCTTTTGCCAGACACTTTGGGAAGCTCTTGGTATTGGGCCTTTCTCATGCACTGAGTGTCCAAGTGAACTAATGTTGCTTTGAGCATCCAGGTACATGCTTATAAACCTCATGTCACTGTTCCTTTAAGAACAGGCTTTTCTTCTTCATGCATAAGGAGGATTTTTCCAGGGACCAAAGCTGGTACAGATCTCCCTCTTATTAACAGTAAATGGACATAATTTTAAAGGAGCCTTTTCAACAATTTGGTTATACTGCCTTACAGTCCAAATGCACTTGGTTGGCTGTGGATTTTATATTAATGGTAATGTTTCTTCTTATATAATTATTAATGTACATACTATATCATAGAATCATGGATTGGTTTGGGTTGGAAGTGAACTCTAAAAATTGCCTAGTCCAACCCCCTTGCCATGGACAGGGACATCTTTCACTACATCAGGTTGCTCAAAGCCCCGTCCAACCTGGCCTTGAACACTTTCATAGATGGGACATCCACAACTTCTCTGGCCAACCAGTTCCAGTGTCTCACCATCCTCATTGTAAAGAAATGTTATTTCTTATGTCCAATCTAAATCCTATCCTCTTTCAGTTCAAAACCATTGGTCCTTATCTGGTCATTACAGGCCCTGGTAAAATGTCATTCTCAGTCTTTTATGTAAGGCCCTTTTATCTATTGACAGTCCACAATAAGGTCTCCCTTGGAGCCTTGTCTTCTTCAGGATAAACTATCTCATTCTTTCTTCACGGGAGAGGTGTTACAGCCCTCTGACCATTTTCATGTCCTTCCTCTGGACCTGCTCTAACATGTCTGTCTTGTGCTGGGGACTCCAGAGCTGGATGTAATACTCCAGGTGGGGTTTCACAAGAGCAGAGGGGTAGAAACACCTCTCTCAACCTTCTCCTCACATTTCTTTTTGTGTAGCCCAGGATATGGTTGGCTTTATGGGCTGTGAGGGCACATGCTGGGTTATGTCCAGCTTTTTGTCTCTCAGTGTCCCCAAGTCATTCTCCACAGGGCTGTTCTCAATCAATTAACACCTCCGTCTGTATTGATATGGCGTATTGCCCTGACCTGTGAGCAGAACCTTGCACTTGGCCTTGCTGAACCTTGTGAGGATCACTGGGCCCACTCGTCAAGCGTGTCCTGGTCTCTCTGGATGGCATCACTTCCCTCAAGTGGAATCTACTGCATCACTCATCTTGGTGTCGTCTGCAAACTTGCTGAGGGTGCACTCAGTCCCACTGTCTTATGTTTTGATGTAGATGT